TTTTTTTTTTTTGCTTGTAGTCATCTCAGCTGGAAGCTACTATTTCTCATCTGAAATTCATTTTCCACTCCGTAGCGCTCTGTGACTTTTTGTACTTATTTCTTATCTTATACTAATGCTTCCTGTAGGTGTACGCGGGTCTCTGTCGCTCTGATTTTTTTTATTCACAGATGATTTGGTCAAATTATTCCTTATAGAATTTTGGTGATGGTGGGGTCTCCGTGTTTTAGCTTGAAAGGACGCATGATTAGTCAATTTTTAATATATTTTTTTTTTACATTTAAATTCTGAGTCACAGTTTTGAAACTGGTTATTCAAAGGAATGAAAAATTTAGCGTTTTTTTATGACAAAACCAGGAAAAAATATAAATATAAGTATTAAAAAATAATATAAAATTTATTTTAAAATTTTATTTAATATCTTAAATTATTAAATTAAATTATTTATTTAATATAATATTAAAATTTTAATGGTCAAACGGTTACAAATTTGAATTTCATAAATTTTTTTAAGATTAAAGAGCTCTTATTTGAGTAAATATATTAAAAAATAATATAAATTATATATTAGAATATTGTTATATGGTTTAAATTATTGAATTGAGACGATTCTTTTACAATAATTATAATAATTTAAATTAAGTTTTTCAAAAAAAATTAATAATTTTTTTTTTAAAAAATATTTGATACTCTTATTTCAGTGCTTTCTTATAAAAAATGAATTATTATTTGTTAGTATATTATACATTGCAATAAATTACAATCATATTTAATAATTGAAAAATGAGATTTTAAAATATTTGGATCCGAAACCTCATTTTAGCTCATTTTATAAAAAAAATCACGAGTGTTTTAATCAATTTAAAAATTCAAAATAAATTTAAATTTAAATTGTTTTTTTAAGCTTTGTTATATTTTTTTTCTAGCTTATTTAAATATCCAACTATTTTAATTGAATGCACCTTTTCAAGACATGTCATCTATAAATACTGAGATTGGACATGGCCGTTTAAAAACGTTTTCTCTTCCTATTTTTTCTAGTGATTTTCTCTTTATTATCAACATCTAGAAACTAACAATGTAATAAAAATAAAATTTAATATGGAAATATAAATACTTAAAACAACACAAACCAAATAATGCAAGAAATAAAAAATTAAAAGACCAAGATATAATTTTACTTTAATTGTGAATCCACAATAGCAGTTCATATTTCACAATGCAAACAAACATGATAGAAAGCCTGATAACTTGAAAGATCACATATACTCTTTTAATTTATTTTTATAATTATAATTTGCAATTGTAATCTAGGGCATGATTAATTGAGAGGAAGTTCCATTGAACGCTATGTTCCTTCACGAGAGACACATAAATCCAATTATTGAGCAGTTTATTGACTTCAAATAAGAAAAGCTAATTCAATAGTTGATTCGAGAACGAATTGGTATTTGAGACAAAATAATAAATGTTTTTTTTTAAAAAAATTATGCAAAATCCAAAAAGTTCTTTAAAAATATGTCTTTTTATCAATGAATATTTTTATTTGACGCGTTATATTGATTTATTTGGCACGTTATGTTTTGAATACAAATCCTAGAAATAAATAATATTTTATGTGGTCGGGCCCAAGTCTCCCGAGGGGCATTTGCTCTCTCTATCAACGACAGTTGAAGCATAGTTAATTTGGGCTCGGTCGGTGAATCGTTTATTCCCATGATCGGAAAGGCTATCTTGCGAGAAGCCCAAGTTTGTTCCCATTCCTCGAATCTGGTTTCTTGCCGGAACGACACTTGTTTTTTTTCAAGTACCAATTAGCATGAAGGCCAGCCGAACCCTAATTTTTTAAAACATGAAAAAAAATATAGCTTTTAAATTTTTTAATATTATTATTAAATCTAAAAATACAGTTGTTTTTAAATGTTTTCCCAAACAAGGTAATTTTTGTTATTAACTAAAAGTTAAAGTGGAAAGTGCACATGAAGATATTCAGTATCGTGTCACAGGAGGCTCTTTGATTTTTTTATTTAATTATATAGAACTAAAAATAGATTTTTATAAGTACAATACTAATATAAATTCTGTAAAAAAATATAAATTTTTAGTATAAATTCCCGTTGGATTTTCAATAGATTTTTTACAGAAAAAAAATATGGATATTTTTTTAGCTATGTTGTTTTTTAAATATCCAAAAAAAACTTTAACAATTTGTAATAAGAATAAAAGGTAACTCTTTAATTAAAAAAAACCCTTTCTCTTATTAATGCAATCTCTCTCTCTCTCTCTTAATGAAGTGTTGTTTTTTAAATTATAACTTATCTTAATCTTGATTTTTTTAAATATAAATTGATAATTTTGACACAAATATATTAAAAACTACATGAATAATAAACTTGAAAAAAAATCAAAAGACATATTTATTTTAACTATAGATAACTTCTACTTTTGTAATTATTATGCGTATAATTTAGCAGAACTTATTTCATTTATATTTTCTCATAAAAATAATTATTTCATTTTATTTGTTACAGATTTTATACATGTTCATGTCACCTATATTTAATTTTAAATTTTTATTTTCACTCAATTTAAAGTAATTTGTTTTGAAAAAAAAAATCTCATTTAAAAAAAAACTCAATTCGCTACTCGAAATTAGCAAAGTTGGATTTTTCTCATGCTAATAGAATCAATTGTTTTTTTTTTTTTTGTTGTCGATACCTGACAGCAACATATGAGGGAATTATTGTTCGCCAGTGAGCGTAGAGAGAGAGAGGGAAATTATTAAAAAAATAAAAAAGATCTTATATAAGATTATACTGGTGAAGAATCTAAGAAAACATTAAAAAAAAAACTATTCCAAAGATATTTGAACATGATAGTCATGTTACAATATTATTAAATATTATTATGTGTAAATTAAGCAACCAAAAGAGAAAGAAAAAATACATTAATAATGAATTAAAAAAAAAAAAGTTTTCGGACAACATAGCTCCAAGTAATGGAAGAGCATGTGTTGCGTGAATAGCGGTTTTTTCCCCTGACATGCATGGTGGATCCCATGACACCTCGGTAGCAGGACAACTGAAAGGACATGTCATCCGTATGCATTTGGAACTTATTACCGGCCATTTCTCCATTAAAAAAAAAAATCAAAGATAAAACAATACATAAATATCATCAAATCAATCTTGTAAAAAATATTAACCTTATGAGATAGGAAGATAAGGAGTATTCATACTATACATTTTTTTGTAATATAAACATATATTATTAGCTGGTAGTATAGAATATATACATTCAGTTAACTAGGTTTAAAAAATTCGGATTCATCACTTGATTTTGTAATATTTTTTTTTTAAATTTTTATAACTAATTATTATTTATAATATCTATATGTTCTAATTTTGATAAATTAAATCAGATTAGATAATATAAATATTACATATAGAATATTTTTCAAACACCCCCTACTAATTTTAAATATTTTAATATCCCTAAACGACAATAATTTATTTATAAATATTGATTAAGTTAAATTAGAAAAAAATCCTTAATTATATTTGACGTAAACTCCTAAGATCACATGCTCTCGTTTTGCAAAATTTTAGATATAAAGAAAAAAATAATAATTTATGCACATTATTTTAAATTAACTTAAAACTATTATCGTAAAAAAATACAACTTAACCCCATCAATGGATACCGCTGTGACTTCTCATTAGACATGTACAAGAGATTGTGTCTTTTAGTCGTACCTTTTAAGTTAATAATGCCTATAAATAATACAACTTTACTTTTCTTTTTATTATATTAAAAATATAAATAATATTTCTTCATATTTTTATTTTTATTTTTATTTCAACTAACAATCATGTCTTTTATATCAAAAGCAATGCATTTTTCCCATCATATTTCAAGAACTGTAGCTATTGTAAAGATCACAACTCTATCTCACCAAAAGTCACGATATAGTCATATATATGCATTTTCATTTTTTTCTATTTTTCCCATCACACACGCACACACACACACACACACACACACACACATATATATATATATATAGTATTGTTTTTAAGAGTATATATAAGGGATGTTGACCTTATATTAAAATGAATTTATTCTTATACAAAGATGGAAGATTCATCCCTCTTTCTCAAAATCTCTTCTGTTTTCTTTGCTAAATTGCTAATCGAGATTTCCTTTTTTTTAAGCAATATTCAATTAATCATTTTAATTTAATATAAATAGAAGGATTGGAAATAATATTATTTTTTTATTGATACAATTGAAAACAAGACAACCTTAAAAACATCTCAAAGTCATATATAAATATGTTTCATTTGTCAACTTTTTTTTTCACCTTGTAGAACACCTTCCAAATTAAGCCTCGGTTTCCTTGTTCGCTCAAGATAAATATCATGGAATGTCTCTAAAAAGTAAAATATTTATATTACCATAGTTATTAAAATTTACCATGATTCAAAAAATCAATAATTTAAAGGTAAATTTTGAATTGAGTTAAAAATAAATTTACTTGTAAAACTAGGAGTTTGATTTAATAGGATTTTTAATAACTTGATTAAACTTGATTTATTAATGCTAATTTATTTTTTTAAATAAAAATTAAATAATTGATTAAGGTAATAAACCTGAATTGATATCATGATCTGTAAATTAATTAAATAATTTAATAACCTTTTCTGAATCGGTTTCTGAACCGAAACTGAAAGCTGTGATTATTGCAACGAACGAGGAAATAACATGCAGAACATTCCCCACGTGACACTTCCAAATTTCTCTCCGTCTCCGTTATTTTCCAAATCAAGCAGCAGGTTCATTCTCCAAACCTCGGCCGTGGACTTCCCACACCTCTCAACGGCCCAGATTCCATCTATCCATCCATAACTCACACACAAAAAAAGTGTGTGGCTCAGATCTCACTCTCATAACAAAACTCAAAAAACTTGGAAAACAGAGTGTGTGCGCGTGTGTGTATATATAATAATCACATGCAAAAAAAACTAGCACCCACATTCAATCAAAGATCCATCCATGGCGGAGCACGAAGGGCAGCGTGAATCAGCGGCTGAATCACTGGTGGATAAGATAACTGAGAAGATCAGCGGTCATGATTCATCTTCTTCGTCTGATTCCGACAACGAAAAGTTCGATGCTGTTAAATCGAAAGTCTTTCGGCTTTTTGGTAGAGAGAGACCCGTCCACAAAGTATTAGGCGGTGGAAAACGTAAACAAACACTGACATTCTCTCTTTCATTTATTTATTTTATGGATTATATTATAAAAAATACTTGTGTTTTAATTCTTTGATTCAAAGTTTAAATATTGCTGCTTTCTTTAGTAGAAATTGGCATTAAATGACATTTTTTTCTTGGGTTTGTTTCAAAGATTTGATTTAAGAAACCATGGAATATATATTTAGAGAAAATGGAAGAGAACCCTTCTTTGTTCTTTGTTTCTGTTATCTGATAGAGATATCTGTTGTTGCTTGAAGATGGTAGCATTGGATCACTGGATTCTGTATCTTTTTTTTATTTGTTATTCGAAAATAGAGAACAAGAAATTTCTGCATTTCCACCTTTATATGATTGAGCATTCTATTGTATTGGCGAGTAGGGAAGCAAATTTGGGATACATTTGTTTTTGTTAGATGGGACATGGAATTGCAGAAGAATGGTTGATTTCTGTTCTTGAAACTGTTTGTTTTTCTCTAACAGATGGTTTTTTTTTTTTGTTTCTTGCAGCTGCTGATGTTTTCCTGTGGAGGAACACGAAAATCTCTGCTGGGGTGCTTGGTGGTGCAACTACAGTCTGGGTTCTATTTGAATTGCTTGGATATCATTTAATAACTTTAGTTTGTTATTTATCAATATTTTTTCTGGCTGTTCTTTTCCTGTGGTCCAATACATCCGATTTCTTGAACAAGTAAGGATTTTTAGATACTCTTTATGTCACTTCGGCTTTGGTGATGTGTTATTCTTTCTCATGGTATTGATTTTCATTTTTTTTTATGTATTAGACCCCCGCCTAAAATCCCTGAAGTTGTGCTTCCTGAGCAATGTGTTCGTGAAGTTGCCTCCGCGCTGAGAATTGAAATCAACCGAGGATTTGCTGTCCTGCATGATATTGCATCTGGGAGAGATTTGAAGAAGGTTCTTGCTGTAAGTGATCTCTTCCAATCGTTGGTATAGACTATAGCGTTTGATCTTTGGCTGGGGAATGCCGTCTTTTGTTGATTGTATTTGTTAACTCCTTAGTGATTTCTACTGTTTCATTGGCAAGTTAATGCATCAAAGTTGCAATGATGCATCCTTATATGTGCCAATCTATGCTGGGTTTATAGCACCAATTATCAGTTGTTGCTCGTTTGGCTGTCAGGTAATTGCTGGCTTGTGGGTTCTGTCACTTATTGGGAGTTGCATTAACATCCTGACCTTGCTCTACATATGTAAGAAACTCAGACATCCATTACTTTCTATGAAGATGCTAGATGGATTTTTATTGACAGACTAATTTTTACTCGATTTCATCGAAACAGCCTTCGTTTTGCTGCACACCGTGCCAGTGCTGTATGAGAAGTACGAGGACCAGGTTGATGCATATTCTGAAAAGACATGGATTGAGATCAAGAAGCAGTATGCAGTGTTTGATGAAAAATATTTAAGCAAAATTCCAAAGGGGGCATTGAAGGGAGAGAAGAAGGATTAGAGAGAGAGTGAGAGACCAGCTCTAGTGCTCACTACGTTGGATTTTGACTCTCATAAATTCTGTTTCATCAAGCTGCTGTTGTGGCTTTGAATATTTTAGAGAAGCCCACCTCTGCTTCATGTTTATGGGGTGCTTATAAAATTAATTAATGCTCATGCTCGTAATAATAAGTCGATATATATTGGTTTCCAGGAAAATTCCCCATCTTGTGATAACACCGATGGGTCTTCTGCCGTCGGCATACATGTGTTCAAGTTATTGGCCTGTGGGCTTAGAGGGGCATTATCTGGTAAGATTGCAGACTGGCCTCTTTTTTTCTTTCCCAGAATGTTTTGCTTTTAACTCTATTACAAACTATTTTACATTCTATTTTGGAGAAGGAAAAAAATAAAGCGATTCCTGCTTTTGGAAAGTTAGATATGGATGTTTATATTTAATATCCAAGTACATGTTTTATTATATTTAATAACTTTATTTCATGGAATTAATGTATTATTTAATAAAATAATAATAAAATAAACACACATGAAAATTCAACTGAATAAAATCAAAAGACAAAAAAAGTCAAATAGAGCTACACATAAAGAATGCCTCTTAACAGTAGAAAAGAAATTTTAAAGGATAAAATTATAGTAAAAAAAATAAAAAATTAGACAAAAAAAACCCATGCAATTCAGTCTTTCAACCATAGGCTAACTTTTTTTTAAGAGGTGGATGTAATTTTTTGAAAATAGATAAGCAGACAATGCATCGCCTACTAGCCCTGTTTCAGTCGATCGAAGGGTCATTGAAATTCGTTCCATGAGTTTATTTATAAAACATTTTTAACTTGTATTTTTAATTTAAAATATTTAGAAAATATCCTATACATTTTGTGAAACCTATTCATAGCTTCAAATGACCTAAAAAGATAAAATCAACTTGAAATAAAAAAAAAACCTTTCAAGCTAAAATCTATTATCTTAAACCAAAAAAAAAAACATAATTAAATAAATTTTTTTTTATCAAATAAAACTTATTATATTAAAATTGATATTTTTAATGGCCTGAATCAATATTAACCAAAGATTCTCTATCATCCAAATCTGACCATCACTTTCTCTACTTTCTCGAATCATAATCTGAAAAATAAAAAATAAAAAATAAAGTTTTACATCACAATTTAGTTTTAAAATATTAAGAGACTGAAAAATTATCATTTTAAAAAGTTAAGAGCACACAAGTGAACTTCTCGCTACATTCTTGAAATTGTCACCTGTTTTCTCCTTTTTTATACCGTGGTCCGCTTTGTTTTATACTATGGTCCCCTTTGTTTTAATTTTGTTTCTCCTTAATAGTTTTTAATTAATTAATCATAAATTTGAACATGGAACCTGAAGAGAAACAAGATTTGAGAATTAAATTGAAAAAAAGCATTGTAAAAACCCCAGACGGTGTAGAGGTTTTTATAATGCATAAATACAAATAAAATTGCTTCTCCTTTTGATCAAGTGTACATACAGAAATGTACTTCTCGTTATTAATTGCATGGTAGGATTTTTGTAACCTGGCAAAAACATCTTCCCAGTCTTCGAAAGTTGTAACTCATAATCCTATTTCATTTGATGAGCAAGACGCAATTTCACATTCAGATTTGCTCCATTCAGCTGCAATGATCCTCGCATGCATATCACAAAAAATGAGACCATTCCCATTAAGAGGCGTTAAATTCCACAACAAACATATATATACGTACAATCTACGAGTTATCTCCTTCGGTGTTCTCATGATAAAGACATTCAACGGATAGATAACGTTCTTGTAAGACATTCTACAAGTAATAAATGATTCTGAGTCCCTGCTGAAAGGGGTGAAACAATCCATGCTTTGTTCCTAAGTAAGTTTTTATCCTGGCCTGTACTGATTCAGTGGGTGTGCCCATAACTTGGGAATGTACCATTCATCAAAGCAATCATCCAAGTCACTATCACTGTCCGAGGACATCATAGATGAAGAGCCATCTAATAGATACTCAACAACCTAAAAATCATGAGCGCATAGGAGAATGTTAGTCAAAAAGTACAAAATTTTAGGAAAGTGCTTCAGTCGGGTCAGGGGCAAAACAAGGTTTGTGATGTAAATTGAATCTACGGAACCCTCCCACCATCCCCACAACCTAAAAGAACACAAGCATCCACATAAATACCATACCTGCTCAGATGATTTGGGAACAATTGGCTGCATTTTAGGCTGTGGTCCGCATTTTCCACTACCACATTTCAGGCCATCAAGCCACACTATCATATCACAGTACAAACAGTAGCCTCTACTATTTGTTAGTCTCTTCGATGAATTGTCTGAAATCCAGACAACAATATTAATGAGAAATGAGTCTCAGGGAGAAACTACAGAAACAATTATATTCAGTAGATAAGCATACCTATATATGCTCTTTTAAAGGCCTCTCTCCAATCAACACTGTTGTTATCCTTATTATCCTCACCTCGCCTGCCATTCAGCAAATCCTTAGCATTTGAGGAATTATGGTCACTTGCAAAAATCGTGGCATATAGGGATTGCCACAGATGGTTATTACAAGCTGCAGCATTCCATGATCTTCACAAAAAGCAATAAGAAACATTAGACTCAAACGAAGAATTAACTGCTCAGGGAATAATACTCAAGGGACCCAAGATAATCTTTTATGCACTAGAGCAATCAGGAGAGCAACTAAAAACTAGATGATTTGGTTTGTAATTTCAGTACCGGGAGACCAGTGAGGCAGAAACCAATGACCGTGTGTCGAGCAAACTGAAGATGTCTACAAGAACATCCTGTGTCAATTCAGTATGACCTGAAATTACCCATAAAACCATAGTCATAAATTACATGGCACATCAAACGTTCTAACATAAGACTAAAAATCCTCTCAATTACAGTAGGACTACTAACATTCTTGCATCCGACACGCTTTACCACGCCTTTTAGAAGCAACCATCGCTTGTTTGAATTCTTTTGTAGCAACATTCTTCTTCTGCTTGGGCAATGTAGCCTCAGCACTCTGAACAAGGAGATGCGCTGCTGAAACAGCATTGTTTGTCCACATTCTAAGATAAAAAATACCAAAAAAACAATCATGATAAGTTTGACAAGAAAAATAATCCACAGTAATTAGTGCAAGAAGCCCAAATTGTCTCATTGGCCAAATATCAAAAGCGTGAAATTGGGTAATTGCTTTCATTCAATTATCACCAACGCAATCAACTGTTCAACAATACCATCCAATTCCAATTACAGAAATGAATTCTTGTACAAACATTAAAATTGGAGCAACAGATTCTTATCCAGTTTCGTTTTCAAAACCCCAAAAAACAAGATCAATAAAAAGCATGTTTCTTTAACCAATTCTTGATTCAATCAAATCCATCAAAATTACAAAAAGGGTCCTAGCAATTCACAAAAACAACAATAAAGATGACAAGCAAACAAGAAATTGAAAGACTTACTGAGGCAGGAGTTTGAAGGAAGAAAGGGTGTCTTGAAAGACGAGGGATTGAAGATTCTTGGGGAGTTTATTATAAGCTTCTCGTAGAATCAAGCTTAGTTCTTTACAAGCTACAGGGTAATGGTGGGTTCTTGTTAAAGCCTCCTTGTAACCAAGAATTTGGTATCTTTCAACTTGGTCTGACATTTTCGAGATTGTGATGAAAAAAAGTGGGAGCAGAGACCGAATTGTGGGAGGAAGAAGGGATGAGTTATAGGCAACTAGCGGGCCTGCTGTCGGTTTTGCGGTTTCTCTATTCACCACCGTACATGAAAAGAAAAGTAGTATTTTATTACTATTTTCTTTTTAAGTCTAATTTCACCAGGAAAATTGATTTATAAGCAGAAAAAATCTTGTTAGAAATTATAATTGAGAAATATGAAAGAGGTATTCTATTGAAAATGGCCTTATCTAAAGTTCAATACAAAACTTATATAATTTTTATATATTATTGCATTTCAAAATATTAATCTATATTCTTTTTTTTGAAGATATTTCCAACCTCAATTGTGTATTTGATAGTGAATACATATTTGTATATAGTAATTAGATTATTATTTGATAACATGATGTAATAAGATATATTTTTTAAAAATATTTATTAATTAAAAATAAATTTTTTAATTTTTAATTTTTAATTTTTAATATAAACATATCAAAATTATTAAAAAACCATAAAAATATTAATTTAATATTTTTTAAAACAAAAAAATAATTTAAAAAACACTTTCAATAACAGAATTTATTAAAGTGTCAAGCAAAGATCCCGTTTGTTCATGTGGTGTGAAGCTTTTCAAAAAAAATTAATTTTTTTTTATTTTAAATTAAATTTCTTAATATTTTTAGATTGTTCTATATTTTAATATAAAAGAATTAAGAATTAAAAATATTTTTTTAAATAAAAAATACTTTAAAAAATAATAATTACTATAATATTAAACACTACCAAATATAAAATTTATTTGTTTTTGAGTTTTAAAAGTTTTTTTAAATAAATTTTTAAATTTTTTTTACTTCAAATTAATATTTTTTAAATATTTTTAAATTATTTTAATATATTAATATCAAAAATAATTTTTTTTAAATAAAAAATATATTTTTAATATATTTTAAAACAAAATATACTTTAAAAAACAACTATTAAACTTAGTTTGATATCTCTACAAATAGAGAAATACCTTACATGTTTTAGATTATTAGCGTTTTGCAGTGTATTTGGAAAATATTTTAAAAAAAATTTTAAATTATTTTTATCTTGAATTAATATCTTTTAAATATTTTTAAATTATTTTAACATACTAATTTTAAAAATAATTTTTAAAAAATAAACTCTGAACGCTGCCACGTCTCCTTATTCTGCGTTCCCTTCGACATGCCATTGAAGCTACAGTTCATACCTCAGTTTTGCTTTTCTTCTTTTAATTATTTTTTTCTTACTCGCATTAAGTTTTGTAACTCTATATCTGTATTTTAGACTTTGAAGCCAATATATTATATAGTTACTAAAGATTATTTTTTTTATTTTATTAATATAAATATTCAAATTAATTTGCATACTTCAACTAATCTCATGAATCTTAAAATTATCAATTATATAAATTTGTATTTATAACTACTTAAAAAAAACTTAAATTTATAATCATTAAAAAATAAATTTAAAATTTAATTAGTTAA